CAGTGCGCCCTGCCTGGGCCATTTCTAGAATCCACAAACACCTGGGGTTTGAAACTTTGGCAACCCAAACATTAACAGAGGGTTGGGGATTTGTCATGACGTATCCCTGCCTTCCTGTGTTATGTCCTGTCTTCTAAACCCATGAAAAGCGTGTTGCTGATGAGCTATAGCTATAGAGGTAGCAAGCCCACTGCCAGGTATTCATTAATATCATTAACTGACAGTGTGCAGTACAGTTCTATTCCCCAGCAACCCCTCCTGACGGTTACCTGGGGGCAGGACACAGCTGGTACTCCATTACAGAGCCCAGCTGTGCCCCGTGGCCTGCAAGTGCTATACAGTCTGGTTGGGAAGATATTCATATCCCACCTAGCCTGACCACATACTGAGTGTGAAGAGGAATAGGCCCCTGCAACACGGAAAAATGGCCCTTATTTTCGTCCAGCAGCGTTGGGAGAAAGTGATGTCAGATCACTTCCTGCCTGGGCGAGAAGGAAGCCACACGGGAGGGCAAGGAAAACCCTGCAGTCCCACTGGACCCCAAGGAAGTCACCCTCCTCCAGCACCAAGATAGGCAAAGAAGAAGGTGGCACTCGAAAAAATTTGAATTTTATGCAAAAATTTATTTATTTCAGTAATGCAACGTAAAAATCATCGCACTTATGACAAATCACGGCTTGAACTATCTTGCTTGGCATGTAATGCGTCTATCTCATATATTAGTTTCCCCTTTTACATTGCATTACTGAAATAAATGAACTTTTGCACAATATTCAAATTTTTCGAGTATCACCTGTATATGTATGTTGGGCTATGCATGTGTTTGGCAGTGGGTATATGTTGTGCATTTGTGTGTTTGGTAGTTTGTAGATTTGTGTGTGTCTGTGTGTACCTGAGTGCACCTGTGTTGTACGTTATGTGTGTGTAAGCTAATTTGTGTCTGCTAGTGTGCTTTAGCGGCAGCCAATAGTTTTGCAAGCAGCCCCAGTTTGGTGGTGGCACTGCCTGGAGGACGTCACCCACTCCCGCCTAGTGACCTTGTGGAGCACTATATCACTAATCATTCTCTTTATAATAAGGAGCTGCATTAAGAAGCAGTTGTCTGATTTAAAAGGAAATTAAACACTAATTTGCACCTGCCCCCTCTACCACCTTCCAAGGACCATGGCTACAGATCCCCACATATGGGGTTTGCCTCCCAAAGCCCCCTCCTAGCAGCACATATAACTGGAACTAATTTGAGTAAAGCAATTTGTTAAAAATGTATTTGTCTGCCATCCAACGTATAAAGTTGAAATCACAGTTTACCAAGGCTTAGCGCCCAGTTTTCAAAATTAACCAATTCCGAAAGTTAAAATTTTGTAATGATTGGCTGTTAAAATCTCAAGGTTGGAGATTTGATTCCTGGCAGAGTCAGTGCAGTCTTTTATCTTTCTGAGATTAATGAATATCTGATGGGACCGGGAAAGGTTGTAGAAGCCAAACACTACGAAACATGTTACGTGAGGCTTTTTCCAAATATTTAAAATATTCTCGGACATTCAGGAACGGATCCAAACCTCATCTATAGAAGTACGAGTGTTTATAATATATCCACCTGCATTAGAAGCAGCTCGGAGGAATTTGATTGGTTGGGTAATTAAAACAATTAGTTAGGAGCAGGTTCGATTTCTTATTTCATGCTAATATCGGTTGTCTGGCATAGAATTTGTTGATTGCAGTGGATCAAGGACACACATGGCTCATGAAAAGACCATTTGCTTGTTAAAGCTCTATAAAATTTTAACCCATTGACTGGATTAGCAGGCTCATAACCTGCAGTTCTCCATCTCCTAACAGGTTTTTGGCCAATGTATTTTTAGGCTGCCATGGACTTTATCTTGTGTCTCATGTAAAGAGTATTTAGTTACATAGTAATCTAGACTGAAAAAAAAGTCCCCGGTCCAACAATTTCAAACTTTAAACACATAATTTTTGAACAGTTTAACGGTTGAAACTAAGGTCTCTTGTTTAACCCCTTAAGGACCAAACTTCTGGAATAAAAGGGAATCATGACATGTCACGTGTCCTTAAGGGGTTAAAGCAAGCCTCCCAAAGACCCCGATTTCAGCATGCCTTGACGGGGGTAGGTGTCAAACATGCCAGACTGGCAGACAGCCTCCTGGCTGGCCAATAATGTGAACAACCATGCAGAGAGTTCTGCTAAACCACCCTCACTCACACAGGCTCCCTTTCAACAGTTCCTGAAAAAGAACGAACATTTTTAATTTTACCTTTTTGCAGTGGTCACGTTAAAATTTCTTATCTCCTGTTAGTTGCCTTCTAAAGCCTGCAGCAGCTTGCTCTATATGATTAACGTTCAATCAACAGAGCAGAAGATAATAACTTCTAAAGTAAACACACTGCTGTGAAAATAAACCTTCCCCTCCCCCCCCCAGAGGCTGAGTGAGTCAGAGCAATGGGACGTGTGACTAGACATGCATAAACAATGTGCTTTAACTACTAAATGGCAAGTAACTTCGCAAGGGCATGATCTATACAGCAAAACCACGACATGAAGCTAAAGTTGTTTTGGTGCATAGATTATCTCTTTAATTGAGCTACGATAAGTATTTCATGAATAGATCCCGAAAACAAGTCAGCTCATTATGTGTGTGGCAGACAACAGAAAAATAAAATCAGGAATGAAGTTATTTTGTAACTCTATGATAAACACCAATAAAATACTACCCCCATGTGGCTGACTTTGCTGCAATACAACTAATATATTATCATCATTGAACCAGGCCTGTTAGCTGTCAAGGCTCTCCGCCTCAGTACCTACCCATCATTATGGATAATTGTCAATAATAAATCTTTATTTTAGTCTGTGAGTTAAAAATCATAAGAGGCATTTAATTAAAAAAAATATGAATAATAAAATATGAATTAAAAAAAATAGCAGGTGGGCAAGCTCACTCTTACAGACACTTTGTGATAGACACTAACAAGACCACAATCTTGTGTACAGATTTTCCACACAGGCATGGAGGGGTAGGGGGCACCTGTATGGGCCAGGGTCTCCAAATCTGTCTTCCCTGAGCCAACAGAGACTCAAAACATGCCCCCAAACATGCACCCTCCCCCCCAACCCACCCACCATCACCTCTGGAAGATACTACTGTGGTATGCACAAATCTATCGGTGCAGATCGGTTTAAGACCTCTCTCATTTAATTTCCTAACTTTAATATCAGCCACAACCTGGTTAATTTATTTTAACTTTTCTTTCAATAATCAATTAAAATAATGTTTATGCAGACTGTCACCCAGGGGTGTTGATGGGGCTGACAGAGGCTTGAAAGATATAAGTTTAGTTGATTATTGAAAAAAAAAAAAACACTATTATTTTAGAATGGGGTCCTGAAACGTCCCTGGTCTAATCTTGGTATTATTTCATTTTTAGCCCCGGTAACACTGAGAGGAGATAACCATAATATCATTTAAGACAGTATTACTTTAACTTGCCATGCAGCATAGCAGGGGGAGTGTGTGTGTGTACTTCCGTGGGTGCAGGGTTTTAATACAGCGGGGTGAAGTTTTAATACAGCAAATGTGGACTTTATAACTATAGGTCCATGTAATATTCTGAATTCAATCATAGATTTGAGAAGTTATTCGCTAAAGTTAAAAAAGCAAGGTGAACTTAAAGGGACACTAGAGTCACCTGACCAACTTTAGCTTAATGAAGCAGTTTTGGTGTATAGAACATGCCCCTGCAGCCTCACTGCTCAATCCTCTGCCATTTAGGAGTTAAATCCCTTTGTTTATGAACCCTAGTCACACCTCCCTGCATGTGACTTGCACAGCCTTCCATAAACACTTCCTGTAAAGAGAGCCCTATTTAGGCTTTCTTTATTGCAAGTTCTGTTTAATTAAGATTTTCTTATCCCCTGCTATGTTAATAGCTTGCTAGACCCTGCAAGAGCCTCCTGTATGTGATTAAAGTTCAATTTAGAGATTGAGATACAATAATTTAAGGTAAATTACATCTGTTTGAAAGTGAAACCAGTTTTTTTTTTCATGCAGACTCTGTCAATCATAGCCAGGGGAGGTGTGGCTAGGGCTGCATAAACAGAAACAAAGTGATTTAACTCCTAAATGACAGTGAATTGAGCAGTGAAATTGCAGGGGAATGATCTATACACTAAAACTGCTTTATTTAGCTAAAGTCATTTAGGTGACTATAGTGTTCTTTTAACGAAAAGCAGCCAGACTGAAAACAGAATTGACTTGGAGAATGTTTCTATTTCAGCTAGCTTGCCTCAGATTTTGAAATTTACTTTGAATTCCTCACAATTCTCACGTTACCAAATAACGTCGTTGGTGTCACATTACGATTGTGGGAGGACTGGTGACCGGGATGAGACTGGCTCGCCTGGAAATAGACGTTAAGTTAATCTGTTTAATTTTTTTATTTCTGGTAGAGGCCTGTATCTAAGTAGTTATAACCTCACTCTACTATTAGGGATACATTTGTTTTCCTTCCTAACGTTACGGTGTTTCTTTGAAAACTGTGGACATTTCCTGCCTGAAGTGGGCTGCAGTGCTGATGGTGCATGGGGTGTTGCTTGAATTGTCTTTATTTTGTATTCTTTTTAAAGGACCACTATAGGCACCCAGACCACTTCAGCTCAATGAAGTGGTCTGGGTGCCAGGTCCCTCTAGTTTTAACCCTGCAGCTGAAAACATGTTTCAGATAGACTGCTATGTTTACACTGCAGGGTTAAACCAGCCTAGAGGCGCTTCTGCTATTTACACGGAGTAAATTGCACTTATTTAATGCTGGACGTCCTCACAGAGTCCAGCGTCAAAAAATATCCCTATAGGAAGCATTGAGTAATGCTTTCCTATGGGCGGATTTGAATGCACACGCGCCTCTGGCCGTGTATGCGGCTCTTCTCGGAAGCTGACGTCGTTGGAGGAGGGGAGGTCACCAGCGCCGAGGGAGCCCGACACTGGATCAAGGCAAGCAAGTAAATGGTGAATACTATAGTGTTCCTTTAAGAACAGCAATGCCACCTGGTGGTACCTGTTTGTATTTTATGCTTGGAGAATAGTAAAAGTCACACTACATTCATCGTACAGCCCTAGTCTTTTAAAAGATATATAGGTGCTATAAGCATTCTACAGCCTACTGCTCTTTCTCTGCAAGGAGATCTTGGTGTCTCTGTCTATGATCTAGTTTCAGTCTCTGGCTAGAGCAGTTCTGTTTTTTTCTGGTTGGCCACAAGTAACAAAATTTCTGGAAAGCTTTTTGTTTCCAGTATATTTATTCTCAAAATGTATATAAAATGCAAACTCTGCATCTACAACCTGCGTTGGACACGTGTGATTCTGTCGGTGTTACTCAATAAACACTGAACTGTTTGTCTATTTTATCTTAATGTTTGCCGTTTGGCTTAATTGGCTATAATTTCAATGTACACAGAATAACCTTGTGTGGGTTTTTTGTTATGATAAAAATATACTAGCCAGCACTCTCATGTGTACAGTGATGTGCAATATGGAAGTCACAAGTCTCATGGCCTGGCAGCAATATTGCTAGACACTGCACATTTTTGAAAATCTTTAAGTAATTTTTATAAAAGGCACCAACTTATTTGGGATAAGTGTTAATCATACAAGTGTGAACTTCGGGAATGCAAAGCAAAGTTCAGATTTTATAGTTTGAAATCGCTGTGCTGAAAAACCATTTGACTTGTAGAATTTTTCCGATTTGGGTATTTTGACTTCAAATGTGAGATTCCCTCTGATTTCTCACAAGTTCACACGTTGGTGAAAAGTGCTGATTGCTCTAAAGAAAAATAAACATAAACAAAGGACCTAAAAATCCATGATAGTGCCAAAGCACGTTTTGGTGCTGCCTTGGAGCATGCACCTTCAATAGGGGTTAACAAAGACCACCCTTATATTTATTTATTCATTTACAAAGTGATTCACCATACAGGGAATAGTTTGTAACGAAGGGGCAATTCTCTAAGCACTGAAACGTACGTCAGACTTTTTCACCCAAGTTAGCACTGTTATGGAGTTGTAGGTTATTTTCCCTATATCGGAGGCAGGGAATCTATGTGAGATGGTAGTATCTTCTAAATAGTAGTTTTCATCGTCTGGCAATATAAGTCCCATTCTTCTGGTGACAGGTTTTTCAGTCTCTCTCCTCTCCTTTCCCCTCTGACTCTTGAGGGAATATTCAAGTTAAATATGGATACTCCGTTGGAGAACTGTATTGGAGCACAACGTGGGTTGGATGTGTAATGGCCAACGTTTTGATATTTTCTCAATTTTCATTCCTTGCGTAAGATACGGTTATTAATAGCGAAGGTATCTCCCTTTCCCCTCACTGTACTGCGGGGAAGGTTTTTAAAAAGGGTGATATATAGACAGGGGACGAGGCAGAATGTGATAGCCAGTGCCAAAACTATCTTTCTCGGAAGACTGATTCACATAGTCCACGCCTACAAATAACAGATGCGGTTTTATCACCTCTGTATTATTATATGATATTTAATAGAGATAATCTCTCATTGGCACAATACACTAACAAAACCAGACTAGAGCGTTAATAAGAGATCAGCCATACAGGGAATAGCTTGTAAAGAAGGAAAACTGTATTTTCTTACCTAAGAATCAATTGTCAGATTTTTCACTAGACTTTCTGAATTCCAGACTCGTATTGTAAATCACCCGGTATCTGACCAACCTAACTTGCCTACCGCTGCAGGTCTGATAAAGAGCAATCACAGGAAAAAAAAATAGTATTATTAGGGAATAAGATTTTAAAGTGGTTTATGTGGAGATATTTCACTTGACAAATGCATTAAAGGGACACTATAGTACCATAATATGCCTCAATCATTGCAGATGCGCCTCTAGTGGCAGTGGAGCTGAATGCACAAGTGCCGCGCGCGCATTCAAAGTGTCCATAGGAAAGCATGTCTCAATGCTTTCCGATGGAGGCGAAATGTGCCTCCAGCGTCGCAGATGCGCCTCTAGTAGCTGTCCAGAAGACAGCCACTAGAGGCTGGATTAACCCCAAATGTAAACATAGCAGTGTCTCTGAAACTGCTATGTTTGCATCTGAAGGGTTAAAACCTGAGGAACCCGGCACCCAGACCACTTCATTGAACTAAAGTGGTCTGGGTGACTATAGTGTCCCTTTAAGGACTGGAAATGATCAATTTAGAAATGGTATGCAAAATAGTAAAGGGGAGGGGGGGGGGGGAATGCAACAAAAGATTACAGCCACTATCCGTTATAAAAATTGGTCAAATGGTGTCTAAAGCAGATTCTAGCAGCCCATATCCCACGTGATCTTTAACCAAAAAACAAACAAACCACCACCACGCGACTTGGATGAAAATATGAGAATTTATTCACAAAACCAGAAAATATGGAGAAAGTCAATAAGAATTTTTCTCCATCCAAAAATGTAAAACAAAATCTCCAATTTAGCCATTCGTTCTACTTGGTTATTTTGGACTAGGAGATTAAATATATGTTTATTAATAATTTTAAAAAAATGTAATCTGCCACAATTTGTGGTTGGCATGGGCTGAATGATAAGGACTATATTTTGTTAAGTGGATTAGGGTAGAGGGGGAAAAAAGAAATATTCGAAAAACAAAGAAAGACCAGCAAAAATATCAACAACAAGAACGATTATATTTTCAAGAAAGATAAAAACCTAATTTATATTTCCAGGTCCTGACCAAAACAACTAAAAATAGAATTATCATCAAGCCTTAAAAACACAGACCCAAAGGGAGCAAGCACATTGTCCTAGCAACGTGGATGGAAATGTACTTTGATAAAGATTGTTTTAATTCAAGAGATGTGCTGCTTAGGGGTGGATACAACAGGCTGTCCATGTCTAGCCCTCCTTCGGTTATTGGACTATAATTCCCAATATGCTAGGTTATTCAATCCCAGAATAACTGAAGGGCTAAGGCTGGCCTCCCATGGGATACAGGATCCCACACTTCTCAGTGCTGATAACAAAATCAGTGCTCTCCATCAAATTACCAGAAACTCAAATTGTTGAAATATTACAAAAGCTCTTTTAATACAGTGATGAACAAACCATATTACGAATCGCTCTCTAAAAGGAAGCTACAACATAAATACAATTTAAACAAAACAAAAAATGGGGAAAAAACAAAACACTTTGATGAAAATAGAAATAAAAAATAAATAAAGTTTTAATAGTGATCTGTCCTTTGCTTATTAGACATATTCACATTTCTCGTTTAATGGATATATGCACAAACCAGGTGTAGTCAACCTTTGGCACACCAGATGTTTAGGACTACATTTCCCTTGATGCTTTGCCAGTATTATGAGAGCTGTACTTCACAACATCGGGAGTGCTGAAAGTTGTCTGCCTCTGCACTAAACCCTGATGTGTGGTGGGATAAAATCAAAATAGTAAATTTGAGGCAGTAGTAGCCAGGGTGTGACTATAGCCAATTAGGAGAATTTTCCCCAAATTCGCTATATTGGACTAAATTTTCCAAATCGTTTTTCAAGTCACGGTTTAAATAAAGCAGGTTTCACTTTTTAGCATTTTATAAAGATTTTTTTTTTTTTCAAAATACTGATCAAGAGACTATATTGGAATTTCACCACTAGTTTGTCTTACGATAAATCGGAGCATGACAAAAGCTGAGTTCCACCATCATCCTTTGTCACAACTGATGGTTGTGGGATTCAGACGTGATCTATGGCGGCTCCCGCGGTCTTCCAGGAGCCTCTATAAACGTCCGTGCTGAAATCACGCTTGCATGAAATTATAGCACTGACGTGGCTCCTGGCAAATGAAGTGGCGGGAGCCGAAGAAGACTGCATGAAGATGGCAGAGGCCACGACGGGCAGTTTGAAGTAAGCAAAACCTAACTCACATGCACCATGCGGCCGCCAGATCTGTCACTTTCAGTGATCTTGTGAAATATGAAATGACCACCAAAAGATTCACTTTACGTGAGTTATGTGCGGCTCACATCAAATATTGACACCCACCCTAGGCCTCTAAAGTCATCTGTGTAATATTCAGAAATATTGTTAGTTACCTCAATTTATTTAGAGCAGGGGTTCCTAATTAATTTTTCCCATGGAACCCTTTGACATATTTGCACTAACAACATGGAACCCCCCAAAAAATGTTGGCGCCATAGCGCAGATAGTAAACGGATAGTAGTGCTTAGGAGCAGGTGTGCTTTTGTGTGTACAGTTGCTGTTTGTATATAATGTTAGCGTTTTGATATAGGGGTGCGTTTGTATGTAATGTTTGCATTTGCGTGCAGGGGTGTGCTTGGATGTAGCGGTCGCTTTTAAATGCAATGTACATTTGTGTGTAGTATTTGTGTTTGAGTGAAGATAATTTGTATATAAATTTGAATCCAGAGGTTTTTGTATAGTGTTTGTAGGAGTGTGTTTGCTTGTCGTGTTGGTGTTTGATTGCTGGGATGTATGCACATATGATTGATGTACGTACATACATACACAAACAAATTAACACACATATAAAACCATTGACACATACATTCATATATACACACACACCTTGACACACAGATACACTTTAAGTGACATGCAGACATACACTCTGTGACAAACACACACTGACAATCACAGATGCACGCTCACTGACATACACATATACAAACTCCTTAACAGACACACACTATTTATTTTTAATTTCACTCCACCAAGCCTCCCTACCTTTGGGAGTGCTGACATAGAGTCTCTATTTCCCTGGGGTCCAGTGGGCTGAGCAGCTGGCGGCAAGGGAGCAGTGATCTTCCTGCTCAACTCCCTTGCGCGCCTCTTAGTGATGCCAGGGCCTGAGTGACGACATATTCCGGCTCGGACATCACTGCGGTGCACGCGAGGGTGCTCCCTCGCCGCCCGTCTCAGTTATCAGCGGCAGCCATTTTGTTTCCCGAAATTGCAGCGGAACACCAATTGGGAAACGCTGATTTAGAGGATTGCAATTTTTTTACTAGATATAGATGTCATTCTGTCGGTAAGGGAAATATATTGAATGAAAGAAAAAACTCTCCATAAACTTTATTTTATCCTGTGATTTCAAAAGATGATGTAAGGTGAGCATATTTATTTAAAAAAAAAAAAAACCAAACAAAAAAAAATAAAAAACACAAAAACATGATCCAAGTGTTAATTACTGTAAAAGAAGAGACTGGTTGGGAGAGTAAAAACTGCTTATATCTTACTGTGCGCTATGTAAACACGGTTCATCTTACAGAGACTCTCTGTAATGTCTGACGTGAGAAACTTTTTAAAAACAACCTTTTAAACTGCTGTCCACGATGCGTTGGCAAAGTGGGTTTCCTTTAACTTATAGAGAAGCCTAAAATTGATTATTACAGGAGAATCCCAATTCACAGCATGACTCCCACCATTAAAGGGGTGCATCTGAAGCTGAACTTGAGGAAATTCTTTGCTCCACTTATTGGTCAGTGACACCCACTGACATGGAGGTTATGCAATACACGACATAGTCAGTCGACCTCACAGAGTTCTAACTATAATGCCAGAATAATAGGACTTGGTGCTGTGTAGGGGAAAAATAATAATACAACTGTATTTACCCATTCTATTACAGCACAAATCTTTCTCTGGTCCATTCAACAAAGTCAACTTTCAGGACCTGAGGAGATTCACAGAGATTGCGTACAGTCCTCCTGCCCTGAAAGTTGAAATTAGCATATATGAAACCAGAGGGGTTGGGGGCGATGGGGGGGCGGGCATCATGGTGAAGGTCAAACACCCCAAATACTAAAACCCTCTTACAGCCCCAAACATACTGCATTTTATACTGGAACAAAAGCATCTCCAGAACAACTTCCACTTAATGCAGCCACTGGAAACCAGTCAATTCAATCTGAACAGTACTACAAAAAGGATTACAGATATGGCATTGTAAAAACCGGAGACGCAATCCGATTCGAGATGATGCAACATAGGAGCAGGAGGGGTGATGTTTCACCAGGATTCTGCTTTTCATCCAAGACGTTCTACAAGTTACAAGGTTGCGATGTTGCTGAGGGAGACAGAACTACCACTCTTTCTTCTTCTCATCCATGGAGACTCCACCAGGACCTAAGGCAACCACCAACAGCAGGCCACCAATCACAGACATGGTCTGGAAGAAATCGTACTTTAGGAAATCGTGCATAGGTTTGTATGCTGGGATGGTCCAGAAGGCATTGAAGTAGACGTTGATGGCAAACAGCCAGACGACCAGGGTAAGAGCAGCTAACTTCGTCTTGAAGCCAATTGCCACCAAGATGATCAAGGCTGTACCAACAATGTTCTGCAGAATCTGAAGGGTGAAAGACGGACAGTCAGTTACTTGTGATAAAGAATGGTTTGGATGTATCCGACATCCAAAGGTACACCACTAGAGGCCACTGTGCTTTCATTAAAACCAGAAGTGAAGCTAGAGAGACATTTTAAAAATATACGGTCATAAATAGATACACATTTAATCTTTAAACAAAACCTTTCACTGTGAGCAATAGAATAACCGGGCTCTGATCCTAGTAGACACTGGGATCTGGCTGATATCTGTCAGCCAATCTCTAGTCTCATTGCTTTCAATGGAGAATGAAAGAACACTCACACAAGTTAATAATTCCTTGTACAATAACTATCAGAAATTAACATCACTTTGTAAAAATAGACAGCAGTTTATGCACGTTGACTGGCAGCGGTCAGTGGTTTATTAGTGAAATCCTATTTAATGTGAAAACACTGGTAGTGCGGAGAGGTAGGTTAGGCTGCAAGCGGAGGATTGGGAGTTTGTTTTTGTTTGCACCAACCAGGCAAAACATGTTAAATCAGCATGTTTTTACCATTATTGGTTGGTACAAAGTTATTGGTCTACTGCTGGAACAGTCCCTTTAAACCTGGATAGTTCTGGAGGTAATAAAGTCCTCCAAAGTACAAAATAACAGCATTTTTTTTTTTTTTTAAATATAGGTCACAAGGTTTCAAGAGTGACCTGAATGTTTAAAAACATGAGCAGAGTTTATATTTCAGAGCACGTTTTCAAATAGAAAACTAAACAATCTGCAATCTATGCATATAGAGTGTATTTTAACCAAGTTAGTTGTATTGCTACATAATCTCTGTATTTTAGATAAGGGAAGGAGCAGTTCATTTAGAATTGGTGCTTTTTCTTAGTTGGCAGTGCACTTTACAGACTGCCAATATATATTGTTAATGCTTGTTAAAACTTTTCCCAATAACATTAATTTAGACAATATACTGGATATTATGACGAATTGATAAGGGAACTCCACATATAAATCTGAAGTTGTATAATGGCTCCAGGTCCACTACTGGTCAATTTTCCATTTTTAATGTGCAATTCCTTTTCCAACATTTCATAAGTCACAATAGGAATTGTTCTCAGAGCTTGCATCAATCTGGGAGACAGGATCCAGTATAAGTGAGGAAGAAATAGGCGATTTAGCCAGCAACTTGTATCAGAAGATCCTAGCAGACAGGTGGAGAAAGCAGAACTTACTGAAACGAAGCTGGTGTCGAAATGAAGGAGAGTCATAAACATGAGAACGAGCAGCACGCGCCCACCAAGCTGCATGTATTGTTTGGGGGAGCTTTCCCCCATGGTGGGGACCCCAGCAAACATGCTTTTTCCTTCCGACCGAGACTCTGCCAGAAGTAGCAGGAGACCTCCTCCAAGTGCCAGGTTCCTAGACACAGAACAGCAGAGAAAATTAGCTCACATCAAACTTGTAAGTGTACAGACACTGGAAACGTATGGAGGCTAGACGATGACCACAAATGTCCCTAGCCCACAGGCAACCAATAGGAGCCTGGACAGTTACATTCCTTAACCAAGATCATGGTTTTGCCATTCAACTCATACTGGCACAATTAACCCCTTGCAATTAAACAAACATTTTCCCTCCCCCCATTTATTACTGAAATCTATTAATTATGTAGCCAATCACTTTTAAATTTTTTAAATAAATGATGGTTATATTTGGCAGGGGGTGGAGGATGATAATCAACTGAAAGCCGGAGGACACAGTCGACCCACAGGTGTGATAAAAAAAAAAAAAAAAAAAAAGGGGGAAATATATAAATTTTATTAAATCATCATGGTACCTGGAACGTCTCTTTAAAATTGTACTGTAACCCCCCCGAAAAATTAGTATTTAATACATATAAAATCTTTAGGAAGTACTCATTGAATGTGGTGGAGTTTCACTGAAATTTAAACCCAGTCAAGAGATATACTGAAACAATGTAGAAACTACTTTCATTAAAACTGCTTTGTCTCAGTATATATTCTCCCGGCTAACACTCCTTGACGCCATCACCAATAATGACTGCAGGGAATTGGCTCTTTCCGCCAAAGGATAGGATAAGAGGAGTAGAAATCACCTTTATCTGCCCCCTCCCACCCTTTCTGCAAATTCACCAGACGCTGACATTGCCGCTTTAATTTTGAGCCAGAACCAATCCCAGCTCACATATATACAGTTACCTCATTAGAAATTTCAAGTCCCACAAGATGCTGTATGCGATAGTCTGCAAAATAAAACATGCTAAATATTAGTCAATACAGTTATTTAGAACAAGAATTCACAAAGCTCCCATGCATCATTTTATCCTTTAAGACAGGGGTTCCCAACCCAGTCCTCAAGTGCCCCCTACCAATCCAGGATTTAGGGATTACCCTGTTGTGTTTAGAGTGTTCCCCTCTAGCCCCCCTTGCTAAAAACAAAGACACGACTGGGCAATCCCTAAATCCTGGGCTGGTAGGGGGTACTTGAGGACTGGGTTGGGATGTATGCTCTAGGATACTAAGCCAACATGAACATGAGAAAGAAACCTCCCCGTCATGGTAAAAAAACAGCCACTAGATGGCAGTCACAGACCACTCAACTGTCATCAGTACTGAAATTAGCAGAAGGAATCAGAGGGAGTTAGGTATAATCATGCAAGGTTTAATGTTAGGGATAGTGTAATGCAGGGTAGATAACTGGTTATAGAGATATGAGACATTTTATAATCAGTGCTTATACGTGAATTTTGGAGTTCCTTGTTTTAGTTGCGCCATTAGTATTAAAAAGGTATTTAATAATGTGTTCATCCATTAACATTGTTAAAGAATGAAGAATAAATTAAAGATGTGCATGACCCAAGCATGTGAGCAGGTGGGGAGCCTTTCTGCAAATTCACCAGACGCCGACAGATGACCCAAGCATGTGAGCAAGCAAAAAAAATAAATAATTTTTCATTCATTCGGTGTAAGAAGGATTCCTGAGGAACATACTGAAAATGTATCACTGTTATACGGATCCTTACAATTTCTAACATAAAAAATAAATAAAAAAAAATAATAAAACCCTAAACTAAAAATACAAACCGCCATGTAACGAATGCGGTACAACGCACGGATTACCTAATTTCTAGCAGAACCACAACATAAATGACCCGTTCTGCCGGGAGACAAGCAGGAGTTACTTGTAGAACTGATCGTCATTTTAAAAACCAGCAGCTGAAATAGCGATTAGCTGTAGAGATATAACACCATCTGGTTTAAGTTCCTGACCTCTGATCTAGATTGGACAGGTTGATCTTGAAAAAGATCAAAACGGGTTGAAATATTGAATTTGTACACAGTTAATATGGATTTTTGATTCTCATTTAAAATACCAGCTGACTTCACCCTAATTTTTGACGTGGGTTTCAGCGTGGGCTTAACACGTTATGGCTGAGATAGGCGATTTTAAGTAGCCTTGTAAAATTTAAATGGCTTCAGGGTGACATAACCAATGAGATATTCAAAACATAAACACCTTTGTTTTAACACAAGCTACACAATTTCATTAACAGGATACAAACCAGGATTACCGTATTTTTCGCTCCATAAGACGCACTTTTTTCCCCCTCAAAAGTGAGGGGAAATGTCTGTGCGTCTTATGGAGCGAATGTGAAGCTTTACTTACCTGTCTTGGAGCGTGGGCCGGCTTCACATCGCGCTCCACGGTCCAGGAACTTCTATTTCAGGTTCCGGTGGGACTGAAAAGAAGTGCACACTTCCTTTCAGTCCCGCCGGAAACCGGAACCTGAAATAGAAGTTCCTGGACCGCGGAGCGCGCTGTGAAGCCGGCCCACGCTCCAAGACAGGTAAGTAATTATGGGAGAAAGGGAGGGGGAGACACTATGGGACAAGGGGATGGGGAGACACTATGGGATCAGAACACTAAGGGACAAGGGGAGGAAGGGTTAAAGATCATTATGGGACAGGGGAGAAAAAAAAATATTCTGAACAAACTGTCCCATGGTAAGAAACACTATGGAACAGTTTGTTCAGAATATTTTTTTTTCTGGGTTTCCTCCTCTAAAAACTAGGTGCGTCTTATGGTGAGGTGCGTCTTATGGAGCGAAAAATACGGTAAGTTAATACACCAATTTACCAAATTCTGTGTACTTACCTGCATGGCAATAATCCCAAACAACCCGAAACAAGCATATTGTACAAAATTCCTACTGAGGACCAGAATACAGCCACCTGCAACACACCGCAAACGAAATAGTGTTACTTATTGTTCCCAAAAAAAAAAAATTTAATATTTAAAATGACGAGAGACAATTAATAAGCTCTTCAAAGAACCATAGCCAGGAAGATAACAGCATTACCAGTTGGAGGAAGCACAGACCTCATCACAGAATCCGTATTCTCATTGACCAGGTTCACTATTGCTGCCAAGTACACGCGTGAATTTATTCAAAAAACACCTTTTTCTTTTGTTAATGTGTTTAATTTTCATTTCACTTAGGAGTTACAAAAGGGACATTGCAAGCTACCATTAACTGGCAAGAGCGCTACATTCATGGGTTTCCACAAATGGAGCTAGACAACAAGATACGACAGAGCCTGAAAGAAGTATGGGGAGGCTTGTGGACAAACCACAAACACACTGTTACAGTAATATCCCAGAATTCCCAGCATGCACCCAACTGCTTGGATACGTGGCACGCCACATGCACCATTTTTCAAATCAAGTTTTTATTTTACAATAGATAGAACCTTCCAACCTGCAAACTGAAATGTCAGAAAAGGATTGAGGGTAAGAATCACAGAAAGTCTAACCTAGTTGTCCGAGAAGGTTGATGAGGACGAAGATGGACGCCAACACGTAGCCGCAGTTCCACGTAGCCTCAATGTAGTCTCTCTGCTCGCTCCACTGAAACCACATTCGGATGCCATCTTCCAAGAAGGTGCTGATAAGACAGAGGCGAGCAACGTGCGGGAGATACTGCTTTGTAACGCGCAGGAACTGGTGAGGAAAAAACAAAAACAGGTTAAAAAAAAAAAAAAAAATTCATGATAATCGGAGGAAATGTACCAGAGCAAACATACAGACAGATTCTCACAAAGTGATGCATGCAGAGACACCCTCATCTGGAAACATCCTTTGAGGGGGACTTTACAGTTAGGGGGGACCTGTGTCAGCAACACACACCACACACCAGAAACAGAGGGATTACTGCACTAATTTAAAATAAAAAAATAATAAAAGGTGTGACGAAACTACAACCCACCTTCCGCTGCTGGACTACATGGACTACAATAGCCAGAATTATCTACAATACAAAAACAAGCAGAGGATTCTGGGACTTCTAGTCCAACAATAGTTAGACAATACTTGTTTAGGGTGAGCTTACTAGTTATATACATGGTTTAGGAAATAAACTCCTAACCCCAATTAAATCTAAGACTACGGGGGCTCCTCCACTTTCCATTTTTATGCAGTATGGGGTCCAGGCTCAGGGGCTAAACTCCCACCAGGAACTGGTTCACATCTAAAGAGTAATACTAAAACGAAGTAGGAAACGGTCTGCCTATAAAAAGGGACACTTGTAGAAATAATCCAGGCACTCCAATAGATTCCAAATTTCAAGGCAATTTATTCGAACCAGGAACTACAAAGCAACGTTTCAGCCCTGTTAGGAATAAATTGCCTTGAAATTTGGAATCTATTGGAGTGCCTGGATTATTTCTACAATTGTCTATCATTGGTCCTATTTGGGTACTAGGACTTTCCAAGAAGCTCCCTGGAATCCATAGTGAGGGGCAGAGTGCGCTTCCAACTTTGACTATATTATAAAAAGGGACACGTCTGCTTCCACTTCCCTAATTCTGTACAGTACATTAAAGTGGCACATCAGATAGACTCCCTCCTATCACTGGTTCAGACAGTAAATACCCCGGGGCTATTCACTCTTAAATGTGCCGTGTTCATGGACAAGATTAAAAGTGGTTAAAAATAAATAAAATATGTTGCCAAAAGGAATAAATTGCTAAAACTTGTTTGTTATGCACTCAATGAACAGATCTGACCTTTAACAGCAAGACAAGATAAATACTGCACAGTACAAGGTTAAAGAATTACAGACATGCAACAGCTGATTGTATGGCCTGGAATCAGACATACTTTTACCTGAAACATGACATTCCCTATTAAAAAAGGGACACAACAGTTTAAACTTTTGCTTTTTAAGCCCATAATGACAAAGTCACTGGAATCACTCCCATTACACCAAGATTTTTTTTATTTTTAGACATGTCACATGTTACGAAGGGGTGTAATGTGAGCCAAAAAAACTGAAATTGTCCCTAAAAAAAATAAAAATAAGAAGAAGACATTTACCAGTGAAGATTCACTCCATTGTACATGCCATGCGGACTCACAGCTTATGTTATTGGTGCATACTACAGCCAATCAGCGCTGTGCACACCAAGGGCTACTTCTTCAATAATGAAAGACTTATATATGAACGGCAGGGGAGATCTAGCTAGAGTCTTAGGAATTAGGTTATAAAAATAAGAGAAAAAACACTGCAGAACTTAGTGACCACAACTGCAAGAACCATGAACGGACTCGTCAATTTAAAAACGTAAACTGGAGTAATGAAAATATATAAAAACAAATATAAATAGTGTTCTGTCCCACGCTGCGATGTACACAGTAAGTTAGACATTTGGCCGCTGCTGGAGGTCCCAGGCAGAGCATTTCTCAGGCTATTTCTATCTGTAACGCAAGACGCTTGCAGGGTGCTATACAGGGGGAGTGCAGTACACACACAGTGAAACATAGGCGTTGGCATGCAGCAGGCCCCTGCACAGGCAGTATACTCAGCACTCTTGAACCCTGGGCATAAGACGATATGTGTACAGAGAGTGGGTGAAACTAACCGCTGAAACCTAGGAAAGAAGGGGGGGAAAAAAAACAAGGGTTAAGTTAGGTTTGCAGGGGGGGGTGCTACAGAAATGGGGCAGCATGCTATGTAAAGGCCTTTAGCCTGGGTCTTGGCTTGTGTTCCCAAACACAAGCTGAAACCTCTGAAAGGGTTTGTAAAAGGGGTCACATTTCTTTAATGGGAGGGGGGGGCGACACAAACAAGCCCAGGAATCACCAGCTGTGCTGGAAAATGACACCTAATGGGTGGGGGGGAGAGGAGAGGGACACGAAGGGGATTGTGGGATATAGCATTCAAACAGGGAAGTCACAGGTTACATTGTAAATAGATGGTAAACAAATACAGGCAAGATAACCGAATGAGACCCCGCTAAATATTCAAACAGGAATAAATCACATTATTTGTACAGCGCAGCAGCATAGGTTGGTGCAATATAAATCACGCATATAAAAAGGTGAAGGAGTGGTTAGGTTGAAATGCTTTCTAGACAATCTACTTGTTAGTGGGTCTGACGACAACTTTGTTTTACTATTGGGAAGGCGGGTGAGAAATGACATATAATAATTTAATTAGCATGAACAGTGTGACATTAAGTGACCGAGTCAGTCCCGTTTCTAAGAAACCTGCGATATGGAACATCTGCCAAGCGTCAGCAGAGATAAAAGATAAATATTTAGTGGTGAATGTTAACGGTTTAATGGCTGGTTTATGCTTTTTTTGTTGTTACACAGAGGCTATATAAAAATCGATAAATGAAGCCAACATATTCTGCAGCGTTGTACAATGGAGATTGATGTTTTATATAGAAACACTAAATGCAACATTTTAGCAAAATGAAATCCAAGACAGCAATATTTAGGCAAATATAGCACACTTGGAGAAAATCACAGCTACAGTAGCAGCTTAGCCACTTTAGGCTATTTAACTGCAATTCATTAAGAAAGCTGTGCACTGCCTCCCAGCCTCAAATTGTAGACTAAAAAGTAGGATCTTTAAATAGAAGTTTGCTATGAATAATGATTGCCAATTTGAGGGCTGTAGTGCTCCCATCCAGATCACTCCCCCTCGCTGGAGAGAGGTCAGTATCGAGGAGGGCTATGCCACCACTGGCTGTCCAGCACCAGCATGCTGGCATCAGAAGCCAATTTTGCACAGAACTGACTAGCCAGTCTGGACCTTTGTTCTAGGCTAGCTAAGGACACTGCTAGGAGATGGAGTTACACCTCGGATAGCCAAGGGGTCAATCTCTGTATATGGAGAGTTTCAAAGCGACCTGCACATATAGTGTGAGGCACCATGACCACTTCAGATCACTGAAGTTTATAATTTTAGTGGTTTCTCATGAACTATCACCAAGTTAGTTCTGGGAGAGAATTTTAAAAAGAACTGTAACACAATTATGACCTTGCGCCAGATTTTGATACAGGACACGGGGGAGTTAAGAAACTTCCATTAGAACTTACCAGGAGCATGATTTAAAAAATAAATAAAATAAAAATTATAGACAATTCTTGTGTTTTCCCCACAAGGCAAACTGGCATTTAAGAAATCCTGACGTCTAATTACTTGGAATAATTTCAGCTAGGATCTGCCGTGTCATTCACTCTGAATTGCAATTGGTGGCAGCCGCTGCTGTGATGACGTACAGAAAACTGGAGAGCTGCTAAACGCATAATTAGCTATCTACCCACAATTTATGTATTGCTGACATAGAGCAGTATGTTTAAAAAAAATAAAAAAAAACCCCGAATAAAAATAAAGGAGTTGTAACAACCCAGAATTAAACCCCTTGCACTTGACACGTACAAACAAGCCCTAATTAGAAGTTACATCTTAAAATATATTCAGTGGTATATATTTGGTCAAAGTGCGCAGGTCTTGCAGCTTTTATTATGACGAATAGGTATCTGTTTTACGATCAAGGATCAGGATACGGGCTCATGAGACAGGTATTACCACAGGTAGGCTAGGAGGAGGCAGGCACCACCACAGGTAGGCTAGGAGGAGGCAGGCACCACCACAGGTAGGCTAGGAGGAGGCAGGCATTTGCAGGATATTTCATATTGTTGACCTAGAATAGAGCAGGTATGGAGGATATGCCCAGGCAGGTACAGTTGGCACCTCATTACAGTTTTATTCAGAGCAGACCCATAGGCCAGATTCCAGTTAGACAGTTGTCAGGTATCACCATGCCCAGTTTTCCACAGAGCCTGCCCCCCCACGAATTACGATGCCTAGCTTTATACAGAGCCTGCCCTCACACGCCATGCATCACCGTGCCCAGCTTTATACAGAGCCTGCGCCCCCACCCCCCCATGAATTACGATGCCTAGCTTTCTACTAAGCCGGCTCCTGCGCCAGGTATCACCGTGCCCAGCTTTATACAGAACCTGCCCCCACACCAGGTATCACCGTGCCCAGCTTTACACAGAACCGCCCCCCCGCATCACTGTGCCCAGCTTCTGGAGCCGGCCCCTGCGCCAGGTATCACCATGCCCAGCTTTATACAGAACCGCCCCCCACGCCATGTATCACCGTGCCCAGCTTGATACAGAGCCGGCCCCTGCACCAAGTTTGACTGTGCCACTCCTTGAAGAATGGCCGTTTATGTAATGTCTTGTGGTGCCCAGATCAGTGCAAATCTTATATAATAGATCTGGGTACAAGTTGGAAAGAGTACACTAGGCCCATGTGAGTGAAGATCAGGCCTGGGCTTCAGATATATGTACAGAGTGTGAGGCTTTGGGGCCTTGCCCAGGGTTGGTACAGAGTGTGGGGCCGAACCCAAGCCTGTACCCAGTGTCAGACTGGTGGGCCGTGCCCGAGACGGTACCCAGTGTCAGACTGGTGGGCCGTGCCCAGGTTCAGCTAGGAATAGATAAGTGCATGAGGACTGGCTGGATGCAAGTAGCCTCGCCAGGCAAAGGAGACGGCCATGGATAACCGGTCTGTCGAGGAAGCCATGGCTGGGTACAGGTTTCATATCTCCCAACATTTCAAATGGACAAAGAGAGATTCTTTAATTTTAGGGGTGTGAGTGGAGGTGTGGCCAGGGGCGGGGCTATGACTTAATTTATACAACTAAAAAGTGATTTATAACAAGAACAGTGTGTCCCATTTCCACAGACTGATTTCTAAACACATTTATTGTAGTTTAAAGACACTTTGCTTTGCAGCTCTATTGTACACCCAGACACACCAACAATATGGATCTCCTAGAAAGGAGGGACATTGGGGTAGAAAGAGGGACAGAGGGATTTGGGCTGCCTTAGAGACAAAAAATGTATACAAAATACAGATGAATGAACAACGCACACACAAAAATGGGGATTCAGTTGCACCATGGGAATAATGTATGTCTGTGGTGCCATGGATGGGTCCCTGGGTACAGTGCTCTCTATAGTATCATGGCTGGGTGCAGTGCTCTCTGTGGTGTCATGGCTGGGTACAGGGCTCTCTGTGGTGCCATGGCTGGGTACAGGGCAGAGTATAGTGCCATGGCTGGGTCCCTGGGTACAGTGCCGAGTATGGTGCTATGGCTGGGTACAATACTGAGTATGAAGCCATGGTTGTGGACCCTGTCTATGGCTGGTCCCTTGGTACAGTGCTGTCTGTGGAGAGTGCCATGGCCGGTTTCCTGGATACATTGCGGTCTGTGGAGAGTGTCATGGATGGCTGGGTTCCTGGGTACAGTGCGTTCTGTGGAGAGTGTCATGGATGGCTGGTTTCCTGGGTACAGTGCGGTCTGTGGAGAGTGTTATGGATGGCTGGTTTCCTGGGTACAGTGCAGAGTATAGTGCCATGGCTGGGGACAGTGCAGAGTATGGTGCTATGGCTGGGTATAGTACTGAGTATGATGCCATGGCTGGGTACAGTGCAGAGTACAGTGCCATGGCTGGGTTCCTGGGTACAGTGCAGAGTATGGTGCTATGGCTGGGTATAGTACGGAGTATGATGCCATGGTTGTGGACCCTGTCTATGGCTGGTCCCTCGGTACAGTGCTGTCTGTGGAGAGTGCAATGGCCGGTTTCCTGGATACATTGCGGTCTGTGGAGAGTGTTATGGATGGCTGATCCCTGGGTACACTGTCAGTCTACAGCTGGGCCCCTGACTGTGGCTCCTGGGTACATTGCTGTCTGTGGAAGGTGTCATGGATGATGCCATAACTGGACCCCTGATTGTGGGTACAGTGCGGTCTGTGGAGAGTGTCATGGATGGCTGGGTCCACCTGCCTGCCCCTGGGAACACTGCCTGCCCCTGGTCACACAGTGTCTGCCCCTGGTCACACAGCGTCTGCCCCTGGCTGTGGCCCCTGGCTGTGGCCCCTGGTCACACAGCGTCTGCCCCTGGCTGTGGCCCCTGGTCACACAGCGTCTGCCCCTGGCTGTGGCCCCTGGTCACACAGCGTCTGCCCCTGGCTGTGGCCCCTGGTCACACAGCGTCTGCCCCTGGCTGTGGCCCCTGGTCACACTGTCTGGTTGTGGCCCCTGGTTACACTGTCTGGCTGTGGCCCCTGGTTATGTTGTGGCCCCTGGTTACACTGGCTGGCTGTGGCCCCTGGTTACACTGGCTGGCTGTGGCCCCTGGTTACACTGGCTGGCTGTGGCCCCTGGTTACACTGGCTGGCTGTGGCCCCTGGTTACACTGGCTGGCTGTGGCCCCTGGTTACACTGGCTGGCTGTGGCCCCTGGTTACACAGTCTGTGGCCCCATGCTATGTTGTGGCCCCTGGTTACACAGTCTGTGGCCCCATGCTATGTTGTGGCCCCTGGTTACACAGTCTGTGGCCCCATGCTATGTTGTGGCCCCTGGTTACACAGTCTGTGGCCCCTGGTTACACTGTCTGGCTGTGGCCCCTGGTTACACTGTCTGGCTGTGGCCCCTGGTTACACTGTCTGGCTGTGGCCCCTGGTTACACTGGCTGTGGCCCCTGGTTACACTGGCTGTGGCCCCTGGTTACACTGGCTGTGGCCCCTGGTTACACTGGCTGTGGCCCCTGGGTTATGTTGTGGCCCCTGGTTACACAGTCTGTGGCCCCATGCTATGTTGTGGCCCCTGGTTACACAGTCTGTGGCCCCTGGTTACACTGGCTGTGGCCCCTGGTTACACTGGCTGTGGCCCCTGGTTACACTGGCTGTGGCCCCTGGTTACACTGGCTGTGGCCCCTGGTTATGTTGTGGCCCCATGCTATGTTGTGGCCCCATGCTATGTTGTGGCCCCATGCTATGTTGTGGCCCCATGCTATGTTGTGGCCCCTGGTTACACTGTCTGGCTGTGGCCCCTGGTTACACTGTCTGGCTGTGGCCCCTGGTTACACTGTCTGGCTGTGGCCCCTGGTTACACCTGCTGGCTGTGGCCCCTGTTGCGTTGTGGCCCCATGCTATGTTGTTGTGCCCCTGGTTACAATTGCCTGGCTGTGGCCCCTGGTTACACTGTCTGGCTGTGGCCTCCTGGTTATGTTGTGCCCCATATGTTGTGGCCCCTGGTTACACTGTCTGGCTGTGGCCTCCTGGATACTTGCCTGGCTGTGGCCCCTGGTTGCCCTGTCTGGCTGTGGCCCCCTGGTTACACTGTCTGGCTGTGGCCCTGGTTATGTTGTGGCCCCTGGTTACAATTGCCTGGCTGTGGCCCTGGTTACAATTGGGTTCGGCTGTGGCCCCTGGTTACACTGTCTGGCTGTGGCCCCTGGTTACACTGTCTGGCTGTGGCCCGGTTACACTGTCTGGCTGTGGCCCCTGGTTACACCAAGTTCGGCTGTGGCCCCTGGTTACTCTGTCTGGCTGTGGCCCCTGGTTACACTGTCTGGCTGTGGCCCCTGGTTACACTGTCTGGCTGTGGCCCCTGGTTACACTGGCTGTGGCCCCTGGTTATGTTGTGGCCCCATGCTATGTTGTGGCCCCTGGTTACACTGTCTGGCTGTGGCCCCTGGATACCCTGTCTGGCTGTGGCCCCTGGTTACCCTGTCTGGCTGTGGCCCCTGGTTACACTGTCTGGCTGTGGCCCCTGGTTATGTTGTGGCCCCTGGTTTACTGTCTGGCTGTATTTCCCTGGTTACACTGTCTGGCTGTGGCCCCTGGTTACACTGTCTGGCTGTGGCCCCTGGTTACACTGTCTGGCTGTGGCCCCTGGTTACTCTGTCTGGCTGTGGCCCCTGGTTACACTGTCTGGCTGTGGCCCCTGGTTACACTGTCTGGCTGTGGCCCCTGGTTACACTGGCTGTGGCCCCTGGTTATGTTGTGGCCCCATGCTATGTTGTGGCCCCTGGTTACACTGTCTGGCTGTGGCCCCTGGTTACACTGTCTGGCTGTGGCCCCTGGTTACACTGGCTGTGGCCCCTGGTTATGTTGTGGCCCCTGGCTGTGGCCTCCGGGTTCTCACCTGATCCGCGAAGTCCTCGGCGGTCCCCATGAGGTCGCTGTTGGTGCCCATGCTGCGGGTGATGCTGCTGCCGGCTCTCCCCTCCTCCGTCGGGCTGAGTGTGGGCCCCTCCCCGGAGAGCGCTGCTCACTGCCTGGCCTGCCACGTAGGCCGAGAGTTAAAGGGGCCGACACCGGCAGGGGGCGGGGACAGCCAGCACGGGGGCGGGGATATCCAGACAGGGGGCGGGGATATCCAGACAGGGGGCGGGGACTGTCAGCACGGGGGCGGGGACAGCCAGACAGGGGGCGTGGATAATATCAGACAGAGGGGCGGGGACAGCCAACTTGCGGGGCGGGGACTGCCAGCACGGGGGAGATAGACTGAAAATCAGCCACGGGGCGGGGAGATCAACTAAGTGGGCGGGGAGAACCATGTGGGGGGCGGGGCGAGGCAGACAGTCTGCGTGGAGAGCCTAAAAAGTGGGCGGGGCGAGAGTGAAGGGGGCGGGACAGACAGACATACAGAGAGGAGGGAGACAGGAATGGGAGAGACTGGCTACTGGGGGGAGAGAGACTGGCTACTGGGGGGGGAGAGACTGGCT